TGAAAAAAGTCCCTGAGGCACCATTCGGCGCGGTATGTCTGCACACCTGTTTTGAAGAGCAATGATCAGTGTTGATGAACTTCCTGATAGGGTTCGACTCCAAAAGTTGAAGGTGACGGTGCTCAAAGTTCGCGAATTTTGTACGGTTTCTCAAGATTCTTTGAGACTTCCTGAGTGTTCTCAGGTGTTTTTTTTCTTTTTGCATATGATTATCTGCAAAAAAAATTTTTGCCATCATTAACAAGCTTACCACAGAAGTCTAATTTTAAGGCGCTCGAAAATTTGTTGACTGCTGGTATGATGAGAATGATTAGCAGATATTTGCATATGGTGCGATTTGGGAAGTAGAGAAGAGGAGGTTTAATTTGTGATGTATCAAATGTGGTTTGTGGTTCTTTTGAGGTTTTGCGTTTGTTTGCAAAAAGTTGTTAAACAAAAGAGAATGTTGCATATCGGTAGTTGCTTAATAGTGTGAGGGCAAAAAGCAGAAAAGAATAAAGCGCAAAGTTTATTTGGAAATATTAATAGTATAGAAAGAATGAAGGAAAAAGTTTTGCACAATATGCACACAGTTGAAATGCACAGATAGTTTGCTGGCGTGGGATTTTCTTCCGCTCCTTTTGCTTTTTATCGTTGTTGTTACTTGTTGTCGCTGTTCTAGCTTTGTTGTTTATCGGTAGCTGCGTATTTGCGTGCAATCAAGAGAATGTTTTAATACACAGTTTTGGGGGGACTCTAATGGTTTAGTCCACTAAACAGAAGTAGAACTTTATACAATGTTTTTCTGGATTGTTGTTGGGTGGTGGAGATCAGATGGAAATTTTGAACCAATACTTATCAGTGTAGTTTTCCAAACCGAAGCTGACGGTGGAAAGGGAAGAGGCGAAGGGGCAGCAGAATATGGACAGAGATTCAATCAACAACGACAGCAACGACAACGACGGTGAGGTATTCGGGCGGCGAGTGCCGGGGACGGAAAAAATAAGGTGCTGCGCGAGCGCTTTTATAGCGCAATTTTAAGCGGCAAAATGGCAATTTGAATTTCATTGTTGTCGTTGTGTGATGAGTGTGTGTGCTTCAAGATTCCGCGTGCTCACACCGACTTTTGGCTGTCTTCTGCTGTTGCCGTTGCTGATGATGTGATGATGTTGTTGGTCTTTGTGTATATTCTGTTTGTTGTTTGAGTAAAAGTTGTTCGATTTTTTTGATTGGTTGGGTTGGCAGGAACGAGAGCGAACTGTCTCTATATGTATGAAGTGAGTGGGAGCTCAAGGTTATAAAACTATTATTCACTGGTGTTGCTGTCGTTGTTGTTTGATAAAGATAGTTGCAAATATTTCTGCGCAGTGCTTATCGATTTTTAAAGTTAGTTACAAAAAAAAGAAAAAAAAAATAATAATAGCAAAAGAAAACAACGAAGAAAAAAACTAGGAAATGTAGTAGTGGTTATTTAAAAAGCAATAAAAAAATTCTTCTGTTATGAAGACAGTTTTTTTTCTCCTTGTAATGATGTTATTGTTATTATTGCTCTCTCTGATTTATGTTGTATTGTTAAGGAACCGTTGCTGTTGTGAGAGGATTTTATTTTTTTTTTTTAAACATTTTTATAGTCAGTTTTTGGTTTCTTTCGCTTTCTTGCCAGTTCACGATTTTGTTGAGTATGTGTTTGTTATATCTAGTGATTTGCATATTTTCGTAGTGCTCTTTTTTGTTTCTAATTTTAGCGTGGTTGTCAAATGGTTTAGTAAGTTGTGATCTGACGGGCAGTGGGAAAAAAGTAAAAATTTTTTTCTGGAAACGACAAAAAAATTTGAACAATAGGAACGTAGTTGTATGAAATACAATATTTTTCAGTCATTATTTATTACGTCCTGAATGGGAAAGGAAATTGTAAGGTTGCTTACGTTATTATCATATTTCTGTAGCACGTTTAGGGATCTGATTTGTGAAAGTTTTTATAACGTTGTCATTGTTCTATACAGTGGACTGCAACTGGTGACCTTACTTTATTTAGAAGCTTAGATATATAGTTTATATATATATAT